GAAGGAATTTGGCTTGGCCCTCACGAAGCAGCCTCGGATCGACTATCGCATGGAGCTCCTCCCATGGGCGTTCCTGGACATGTTGACGAGCTCGCCTTGAAGCATAACGCTCAAGTCTGCCTGCAGCATCTCCAGAGCGAGGGACAGCGGACACTGTTCTTGTCCTGCGACGAGACATGTTGGCATGCGAGCTTTGGTTTGGTCAGTGGCCTGTACGGTCGAGGAGAGCCAGCTAGGCAGCACATCGTTGGAGGCTTCTGGTGCAGGGACGAGAGCGAGAACTGGGCCGTCCTCGAGGATGCAGGCGAGTTGCCAAAGACCAAGCTAGCCCGGCTGACGATGCACATCACGGCAGTGCGGACAGACTCCTTCCGCAGGACACTTGACATGGCCTGCTACCCTGTCCCACCAGGCGGCCAGGTTGATCACTCGCAGGAGCTTCTGCAAGCCACTGGTGAGTGTCTGCAGAAGCTGACGGTCGCCAACGAAGGAGTGCCGCCGTTAGGAGTGGCGTTTGACGGAGGGGCCAACAACCACCTCCTGGCCAAGGCATTGTGCTGTAGGTTCATGTCCCATGCTTTTTCAGTTTGTCGTAGGTAGTCAGATGCAGCACGCCTCAGACGGAGGTGACCCTGGGAACTCTGGAAGTTCCACGCGATGTGGCATTCTGGGGAAGCTGCGAGCCCAAGAGACACAGGGGGCTCTGGTACGTGCCATTCGGCTACGTCCAGCACGGCACTAGTGTTGTGCTTGGCTCGCAAGATGCTCTTCATTTCCTGAAACGCTTCAGCCTTCATCATGGCTCAGGCTCGAAGACCATATCCTGGGGCTCAGTGCCGACTGACTTGTCCAGTATGCTGGCCGCGGGCATGCCATTGAAAGCATTCCTGTGCTCTGACGAGCAGAGTGACGTTCAGGCACTCCATCGGGTCAACTCCAAGTACCTTTCCAAAGCTTGGAATTCTGTGGGACCGCACCTCTACTCTTTCGTATCGGCTGTGCTGTCGTTCGCCAACCAGGCGGGAGACAAGCAGGATGCAGAGGAGAGGGCGTACCACTCCCTGGCTGCTTACTACTTGTTGTTGATCAACGCCCACCAGGCACAGCTCATCTACGGCTCAGCCTGGAAGGAACACTTCCTCCCCGTCAGCACGATCCGCATTGGCTGCCAGATGTGCATTCACAACCTGAACCTCTGCCTCTTCTGCGACGAGCACACCTCCGTTCGGCCAAGTCGCTTCGCAGAGCATGCTTCAGAGCTCCATTTCGGAGCCCTGAAGAGTGGTTTCCGAGGGACACCTTCCGTGGCCGACATGCTCGTGGGACAGCACAAGCATCATCTAGGTCAGCTGCGTCAAAAGTTCGAGCCGACACCCTGCCTTCACAAGCCTCTGACGCCTGAGCGAGCACAAACCCTTTCCCGGCAAGCTTTCCAGGACCAGGGGGAGCAAGGTTGCATCATGTCATAAACTTGTGACCTCCGCACCTGCATGCAGGACGCCTGCAAGTGGCAGGCCTGGACCAGTGTCAATCGAACACCAGATCAGATAGCCGAGACTTTCGAGCTCTGGTACAGGAGAGAGGGCCTCAAGCTGCTTGCAAGCAACCCAACCGAGGGCGACGAGGATGTGGATGACCGGGCGCTTGACATGGACTGGGTAGAGGAGCTGCACGAGCCCCTCGATGCCGAGGAGCAAGCGAGCATGGATGCCCTCACTGCTGCCGAGGACCTGCTGGCGACGAAGCAGGAGGTGATCAAGCTGCAAGAGGCCGCAGCCAGCGGCATCATGGATGTCGTCACCGAGGAGGCTGCTGTCGCGAAGGCGACAGACACGGATGGGGCAGATAGGCATCTGCCTCCGGAGGCAAAATCCCTCTACGACAAGACCAGCATGCGAACCCTCGTCCAGCAGTTCAGCGACATGGAGTCCTTCAGCATTGAAAGCGAGGCCGACACCGGCTACTCCAGATGCTTGGATCGCCTTCTTCAGATGCGGGCTCCCATCCAGAAGTTCGTGGAAGCTGTGAGATTGGAGGAGGGCATCCTCAGCCAAGCACAAATCCTCACACATCGAAAGATGGGAGATTGGCAGTCCAAAGAACATCAGCTGGCCCTCGCAAGGGCTGCCTCGGCACAGGACCTTTGAGTAGCAATTAAGGGGCCCAAGGGCTTTTGACTTCAAGCAGTCGGGGGATTCGGCATGTCGGCATTCCATTTTTTTTGATTAGGACGGCTCGCGCCAGTCGCGATGGTTCGGCTGGCACAGCGTGCAGGCTAAGTGCAAAGACTTTGTCGTCCAGCAGTGCACCGGCAGCAGCTTCCTCAAGGTGACCCACCTGAGGCCAGCCTCGGACGACACGCAGGTCGTGCTTTACAGGGAGACCGATGGCAGCCTTGACCTGGGTCTTGTACAAGGACTCTGGAGGGGAGCCAGAATGAAGGATTCGGGTGGCAAAGACGTGCCCAGAAAGCTCCGGGTCACGAAGCCAAGTGCACATCCTCTTCCATTTGCCTCCTGTGCACGGGTCCGGATCGTGCGGCTCACAAAGGTGAAGGGCTGCACGTACTTCGCTTGCAGCCTGTCCATTGCCAGCCTTCGGGATCCACTGGGATGCATCGTGGGAGAGCTCAAGCCTGAGAGCACAAAGGCGACGGATGGCAAGCTGTATCTGACCTTCGGAGAGAGCGACCTGCAAGGGATGGAGAAACTCGCCGAGGAGCCGGAGCTCTTCAACCCACCAGATGAGGTGCCAGATCCTGCCGTGCATGCCGAGGCGCCATCCATCGAGTGCGAGCGACGCACCTTCGCTCCGAGCGATTTCGGTCGCCACTTGCAGGGCAGCAAAAACATCACCGAGTTCATGGAGATGTTGGCCAAGATCTGGGCGGAGAAGGGCATGGGCTTCCTCACCGACCAAGGTGAGCTGGAACTGGCCGGTGGGAAGAAAGTTCGCTGGGATCACTTGTGCCGCCGAGCCCCCGAAGGCTTCGATATCTTGCTCAGTGCTAAGAACAACAAAGATTTCAGTAAAGCAGTCCACAGCCAATTCTTGCAGCTCATGCCGGGTGCCAGTGAGTCCATGAATAGCCTGCGGATGTTCGCCAAAAAGATCGATGCCGTTGCTCAGCCTCTGCTGCAGCCTCAGCTTCTGACGACGTCCTCAACCCTGCAGCCCGCATCCTGACCCTGTCCCTAAGCCCTGAGCCTATGCCAGGATCCAGTGCTGAAGTGTTTCGACGTGGAGGCGGACCGATTGTCACGTGTGCACCGGATTCCTCGTCTTCGTTTTCTGCCAGGAGCG